CCCCCTACAACGTTTTGTTGCCGAATAGGGAGCTCCACCGACGGCCCCAGTGCCAGCGCCCGCATGCGTCCCCCACACCCAGTACAGCGTTCAGTGGCCCCGTAGGGAGCTCCACCGACGGCCCCAGTGCTACCACCCGCATGCGTCCTCCCCACCCAGTACAGCGCTTCGTGGCCCCATAGGGAGCTTCACCGAAGGCCCCGGTGATACCGCCCGCATGCGTCCCCCCCACCAAGTACAGCGCTCCTTGGCCCCACAAGGAGCTCCACCGACGGCCCCAGTGCTACCGCCCGCATGCGTTCCCCCCACCCAATGCAGCGCTTCGTGGCCCCATAAGGAATTTCACCGAAGAAGATATTCACGATTGCGATACCCACAACTGCATATGGCTAGGTCATTCGCCTGGATAATTTTTGGGTGTAGCCTTTGGAGCCTCACTTGTTCTGTTCTTCAGTCTGTATCCTTCACCTTGGCTTTACGCGCCTGAGGTGAGGATGAGCCTGCTGCAATGGCGGCTTCGACTGTCGGGCCCAAATGGGCTCGGCGCCCACCCGGCAGAAAGGGCGTGTCCCTCCCTTCGTGGACAGCGGAATCGAACCGAACCGCGACATCCTCCTCCTCCTCCTCCTCCTCATCCTCCTCCTCCTCCTCCTCCTCCTCCTCCTCCTCCTCCAAGACCCACCTTCATTCTCCTCATCCTCCTCCTCCTACTCCTCCTACTCCTCCTCCTACTCCTTCCTCCTCCTCCTCTTCCTCCTCCTCCTCCTCCTCCTCCTTCCTCCTCCTCCTCATCATCAGCATCATCCTCTTCCTCTCCTCCTCCTCCTCCTCCTCCTCATCCTCACCCTCATCCTCATCCTCATCATCATTATCATCATCATCATCATCATCATCATCATCATCATCATCATCATCATCACACATCATCATCATCATCATCATCATCATCATCATCATCATCATCATCATCATCATCATCATCATCATCATCATCATCATCATCATCATCATCATCATCATCATCATCATCATCATCATCATCATCATCATCATCATCATCATCATCATCATCATCATCATCATCATCATCATCATCATCATCGTCATCATCATCATCAACATCATCATCAGCATCATCATCATCATCCTCATCATCCTCATCATCATCATCATCATCATCATCATCATCAGCATCAGCATCAGCATCAGCATCATCATCAGCATCAGCATCATCGTCATCATCATCATCAGAATCGTAATCATCATCGTCAGCAGCATCATCATCATCAGCATCATCGTCATAATCATTATCTTCATCACCGGCATCATCAGCATCAGCATCATCATCATCAACATCATCATCAACATCATCATCATCATCATCAACTGCATCATCAGCATCATCATCATCAGCATCATCATCATCATTATCCTCATCATCATCATCATCATCATCAGCATCATCATCGTCATCATCGTCATCATCAGCATCATCAGCATCAGCATCAGCATCAGCATCATCAACATCAGCATCAGCATCATCATCACCACCACCACCAGAATCATCATCATCATCAGAATCGTAATCATCATCATCAATCATCACCAATCACCAATCATCATCAGCATCATCATCAGCATCATTATCGTCATAATCATCATCATCATCATCATCATCATCATCATCATCATCATCATCATCATCATCATCATCATCAGCATCATCATCATCCTACTGCTACTCCTACTCCTACTCCTACTTCTACTCCTACTCCTACGCCTTCCCCGCCCTCATCCTCCTCCTCCCTCTTTGTCCCATTCCGCCTCGTCCTCTGCCACATCCACCTCTGCCGCGTCGTCCTGTATTTCCTCCTGCTGCTCCTCCTCCCCATCTCCCTCCCTCCAAACATACTCTACTCCTCCTGCTGATGCTTATCGTCCCGCCGTCCTCCTCCCCCATTCCTTCGCCTCCCCCTCATTAGCCCCATTACTCCGCCGTTCCCCCTCTCCTCCACAAGAAAGCCAGCACACAGCTTCACGTCTGCCCACAGACCTGGAAGTTCAGACTCCAGGGGGCATAAGATGGGAGGCGAGAGTCATGCACAACTTCGTCCTCCCCCTCGGCCCCCTCCTCGAGGGTCAAGGGGCCGGGGGGGAGGGGGAGAGGAGGAGAAGGGAGAGGGAGAGAGGACGCGCAGCATCGGGCCCTCGAAAAAACCAGTCCCACAGCGAGGAGCGCACCACAAATGCGCCGAGAATATGTTTGAAAGCAGAAGGGCTGCTCCAAAGCCTGCCCTGGAATTCACCGACACATCGCAACCTTCTGGCGTTCGTGCACCAACGCTGCTGCAACACCACGCCGCTTGCTGCAAGAGCGCGTGAATGGCGAGCAAGCGAGTTCAGCTGCTCCGAACCAGCCGCTCGCCTCCCCTCCAGAATGCGGGCAAGCGGGGACGGGGGACGGGCAAGCGAGGTTACCAGAGTGGCAACACACCGCCACTGCTTCTGGGAGCACCTGCACGGAGACCTGGAACACCATGCGAACTCAAAAGGCCTGCGTGGCACGGCCACACGGCACGGCTCGGACACCGCGCGGCACGGCACGGGCCACGAAAAAATGGGCCTGCGCCACCGGCACGGCACGACACGGCACGGCACGGCACGACACGCACGGAACACGTTTGGCCTCCTGAAAACTCGGCACGCCACGGCACGCGGCAAGGACGTTCCTCGCGCCCCAGACCTGCGACACGGCACGGCAGGGCACGCGGGCACAGCACATGTCTTCCGCATCTTCGACCTCGGCGTGGCGCGGCGAAGCACGACCTGGCACGGCACGTGGCCGGCAGAGCTTTCGCCCTCCAGAGCTGCCGCGCTCCAGCACTTCGGCACGGCACGGCACGCGGGCGACACACTCTTCGTATGGTAAGCACTTCGGCACAACAAGCGCACGGCACGCGGGCGGCGCAGTCTCCGCGCTCCAGCACTTTCCGCGCTGCGCGGCGCGACACGGCGCGCGCACGCCGCGCCCAGGACTTCGGCGAGGCAGCGCACGGCACGGCGCGGCGCGCGGGCGGCACGGGCCCCCGATTTCCGGGACCTCGGCACGGCACGGCGCGGCACGGGCCGCGCGAGGCACCGCGCCTGCCTTCCAAAGACAGAAGGCGGCACGGCGCGCCCAGCACGCGGGAGGCGCGCTGCCCGAGCTCGGAGACCTGCGGCGCAGCACGGCGCGGCACGCCGGCGCGCCGGCGGCACGTGCTCCGCGCGCCGGACGTCGGCACGGCACGTGCAGGGCACGGCACGCGGGCGCGGCACCTGCTCCTGGCTCGGGGACTTCGGCACGGCACGACGCGGCTCGTCTCGCGGGTTGCACGTGCTCCGCGCCCTGGAGCGTCGGCAGCGGCACAACACGGCACGGCTCGCGGGCGGCACACTCCTCGCCTTCTAGAGCGCGGGCATGGCACAGCCCACGCGCACAGCACATGTTCCACGTGCTGGAAATTGGGAAAAAGTCCTTCGAATACGACTGGGACCCTTGAAGCATTCCCCATTTAGTAAAAGATGGAAAACCTGCCTCGCGTTTGACGAGCCTCGCGTCCCAATGGGAACCAAGCCATACCAACTTGCTCGCGGGGAGCGAGACCGTGACATCGCGCAGCAAAAGATCCGCATGCCCGCCGAGCTTCCCCAGACTCTGGCGCGCCTCCCGCCTCTTCGCACTGCCGAGCCACAAACTCCCAAACATTGTCCTGAACGACCCCAAGTATCGCACCAGACGACGCTTTGGTACAACACTGAAAACACGTGGTACGATATCAAAGGTTCGGATGTAAGACCAAGTGCCTTCTGGCCTGGCCCGAATGCGTAAAATCGCGATGCAAGCCCGAGGTTGGTACAGTATCGAACGCGTTTGGTACAATACCGAGATCTCCCGGTACAGTACTCAATTATTCCAGCACGATTCCAACACATTCCAACACGAGACATGTTTTCCCAGCATGGTACCAAGTTATCCTGGCATGCAGCCAGACGCCGTTTGGGACGGTGTCTGGGAATTCCGTGGCTTGACAGCGCGGTGTTGAGGGGGGGCTGACGCGCACGCTACCAAACTAGAGGTGCGCGGTATGTCTTGGTTACGCTTGGAAGCAAAAGCGGGGGAGGTGAATCCTCATCCGATCTGGAGGAAAACGGAAACCATCGACTCTCCTCCTCCTGCTCATCCTTCTCCTCCTCCTCCTCCTCGTCCTCCTCCTCCTCCTCAGCATCATCATCATCATCATCATCATCATCATCATCATCATCATCATCATCATCATCATCATCATCATCCCCATTCTCGTCCTCATCCTCATCATCCTCATCATCATCCGCATCCTCAGCATCATCATCATCATCATCATCATCAGCATCATCATCAATATCATCCTCATCCTCATCCTCATCATCATCATCATCATCATCATCTTCATCATCATCATCAGCATCATCATCATCATAATCATCATCATCATCATCATCATCATCATCATCATCATCATCATCATCATCATCGTCATCCTCATCCCCATCCCCATCCTCATCCTCATCATCATCATCATCATCATCATCATCATCATCATCATCAACCTCATCATCCTCATCCTCCTCCCTCTCTCGCCCCTCCCTCGCTTGCTGCGACCGACGTGGGCACACGGCGCTGCCCGAGAGGTCCTGAAGAGCCCGCAAGACTCGGGTTCGGGGGACTCGGGCTGGCCTGACAGGGCCACCATGAAAATGACGAGACCCAATCTGACAGTCGTCGCGAGCTCCCACTGCAAACCTCCCACGAAGACTGGGCCGTCGAAATCCTCCTCCTCCTCCTCCTCCTCCTCCTCCTCCTCCTCCTCCTCCTCCTCCTCCTCCTCCTCCTCCTCCTCCTCTTCTCAAGACGCACTCGTCGAGAAGCGTCGGCAAACCCGAGTTCCGGCGCACTCGAGTCTTACATTCCCCCGACACTCCGCGGGCGCGCTCCTCCTCCAGCCGCCGCATCTGTGCCTCCAGGCTGCCGGCGCGCTCCTCCCAGCATTGGCACCTGCCGCGCACAGCCGGGCGTCGTGGTCGCCGCCCCCGCGCGCGCGTGCGGGAGCGGGGGGAGGAGGAGGAGGAGGAGGAGGAGGAAGGAGAGGAGGAGGAGGAGGAGGAGAGGAGGAGGGGAGGAGGAGGAGGCGGAGGAGGGGGAGGAGGAGGAGGAGGAGGAGGAGGAGGAGGAGGAGGAGGAGGAGGAGGAGGAGGCGGGGCAAGGGGGAGGAGGAGCAGAAAGAGGAGGAGGAGGAGGAGGAGGAGGAGGACCAGTGTAAACCCAATACGCTTTAACGATGTTACAGCAAACCCTCCCTCCAAGTTCCCTCGTTACAGGTCCCTACAATCATCGATGCTCACTCCTGCAAGTGCCCCGTTGGGAGACAACCGTCTGAGAGTCCTCGATCGCACCGAACAACCCAGCTTGGACTTCAACGCCATGAATGAACGCGACTGTTGCGCCCTAACAATCCTAAATGGCGCTACAGCACCGTGCCTGGGAGTTCAACACCGGGAATGAACGTGACTGCTGCGCCCTGACAATCCTAAATCGCGCCAGCACACCATTCCTGGGACGTCAACCATAACAACCCGTTACACTTCTGTAAACTTTCAAGACGACTGGGCACGACGCTAAGGCGAAAGCCATATTTCGAAAACGGCCCGCCCTCCATCAGTGACTCTCTTGCAAGGTTTTAAACGAATGAGCGCAGCGAAGAGGCGAGGGCCACGTTTTGAAAACGGCATGCCCTCCATCGGTGAAACCTTTTTCAAACTTGTAAGACGAATGTGCGCGGCGCGAAGGCGAGAGCCGCATTTTGAAAACCGCCAGCCAAATATTCGTGAAGTTCTTGTAAACTATGAAAACGATTGTGTGCGGCGCTAGAGCCGATAGCCACATTTGCGAAACAACCCTCCCTCCACTCGTGAAGCAGTTGCTAATGTTTGCGAGGAGGAGGAAGAGGAGGAGGAGGAGGAGAAGGAGAGTGGGTCCCAAGAGGCCCGAGAGGGAGGGAGAGATGGAGGGAGGTCTCGGTGCTTCACTGTTAGGAGGCGCCAGCGCGTCTGCCTTGGACTCTGCGGGGCAGCGCGGGGTGCGGGGGATGCGTAGAGCCGGCGCTGGCGACCGCTGGCCCTGTGTCTCTTGGCCAGCTCGAGCGGTGGCGCATGCGGCATCGGGACTTCCTCCTCCTCCTCATTCTCCTCCTCCTCCTCCTCCTCCTCCTCCTCCTCCTCCTCCTCCTCCTCCTCCTCCTCCTCCCCTCCCCCTCATCCTCCTCCTCCTCCCCTCCTCCTCCTCCCCTCCTCCTCCTCCTCCTCCTCCTCATCCTCATCCTCCCTCCTCCTTCTCCTCCTCCTCCTCCTTCTCCTCCTCCTCCTCTTTTCCCTCCTCTTTCCCCGCCGCCCGCCTGTGCGCACCGTGCCGGGACGGACCTCCTCGCGCGCCGAGGCCCAATGGACACCAGGGCCAGACCGGGGCCGGCGCCGGGGCCGCGGAGAGACCTCGAGGCCCGACGCAGCGAAGAGGATGCAGCATGGTACAAGAGCACGCCAGGAGCCCCAGGCCCCCTCTTCCTGAATCGTTTTTCGAGCCGGATCGATTTGCGAGGGCCCCAGGGCCCCCCCAAAAAAACGCGGGAACGCCCGGCTCGAGAAAATTGGCACGCCAGGATCTCAAGGGAGGGGACGAGAGGAGGGAGGAGGAGGAGGAGGAGGAGGATGACGACGACGACGACGACGATGACGACAACAACGACGACGACGACGAGGACGACGACGACGAGGCGCCGCCCTGCGCCGCCGCTCTCGCCTCTCTCTCTCTCTCTCTCTCTCGCGCGCGCCCGAGGAGCAGCTCGGCTGCGCCGAGCGCCTCCGTGCGGCGATCGACGGGGTTTCCGAGGGCTCGGGAAGAGAAGGATGAGGAGGGGGAGGGGCTGGAGGGAGGAGGGAGGAGGGAGAGGGAGAGGGGGAGGGAGAGGGGGAGGGGCTGGAAAAGAAGGAGGGGAGAGGCAAGAGGGGAGGGGAGGCAGGCAGGTAGGCAAGTGGATGTCCTCACGTAGACAACCGTGTGTTGGGCCCGCGGCCCGGGGTCCTTCGGAAGAGGGTCGCAGGGCCTAGGGATAGGAGGAGCAGGAGCAGGAGCAGGAGGAGCAGAGGAGGAGGAGAGGAGGAGGAGGAGGAGGAGGAGGAGGAGGAGGAGGAGGAGGAGGAGAAGGAGGGGAAAGGTGTCGGTTCGTTGGAGGGCAGGAGGAGGAGGAGGAGGAGGAGGTAGGAGGAGGAGAGGAGGGGGAGGGGAAATGTGTTGTGGAGCAGGAGGAGGAGGAGGAGCATAGCAGAGATGGGAGCGGGGAGGAGAGGGAAAAGGAGTATAGGAGGAGGGAACAGGCTTTCAGCCTCCTCGTACAAAAAGAACGAGGGCCGAAGCGTCCAGCAATCGGTCGACGCAATGACCAGATGCCCTGCGCGCGCGACGCAAACACGGATACACGCCGCGGGAGGAGGGAAGGGGGCGACGAACGCACGGAAGAAGAGGAGGAGGAGGAGGAGAAGGAGGGCTCCAGGCTCTGGGCACTGCGCGGCACGATCCCAGCATGTCCCAAATCGAGGCCCCGAGGCGGCGAGGCGGTCGAGAGCCGACGACGCAAGCCTGCGGAGCTGATGTCTACTCCGAGCTCCACACAGCCTGTCCGTCGCATTCGCGTGACATGGAGCCGCCAACGCAGCAGCGCGACCCTGTGCGCCGCGCAGACGTCTGCCTCGGGGTGCCCTTCTGTGCGCACCTCGCGCAACGCATCGATATCGCGACCCCTGTCGCGGACAACCAGGCGCGCGCCGAAGGCTCGCCGCGCCCCCAGGCGCAGTGCA